GAAGCAGGAAATATTATAAAAAGACGGCAACGAAGTAACATTTACTTTTTGAATTTTAATATATAGAAAGTAGAAACTATAGAAATTAAAACATACATATGAAAAATATAAGAATTAATACTTACTGGTAGGGAAGAAATTAAATAAATAAAAGTACAGGACTAAAACCCCAAAAAATATTAAAGTTACCAAAACTCTAATTATAAACTCGGATTAATTTTTTCTCTAAATCAACATATTAAAATATTTTACTCTGTTACTATTCAAAATTTGAATATTTTCCATCTCATTTTATCAAAATTGTCTAGACTTGTTCATGGCATAGGTTGAATGATTTTTGGATATTATTTTTTTCAAGGTTCTTAGGGTCTGGGTTTTTCTTGTTACAGATTTTGGTTGCTGGGATATGCACTGATATATGTGTGCTGGATTTTGTCTGTTCTGCCTTGTCTGCAAGAAACCGTGGTTTCATTCCTCCTCTGGAAAATGTGATCGTGTCTTCCCAGGCTTCTGCTACTTATGATTTGCCTTTACATGTGGCTAAAACCAACAAGGAACTTGTGTCCCATCCGCAGGTACCCTTGATTATCTTAATGTTGCTTTGCTTGAATTTTATATCTTAATAGCCTAGACTTCAGCACTCAGAGTCAGAAGACAATTCTGCTTCTCTTCCTACTGTTGGCTATAAACATATGAGTATGAGTAAATTACATTGATACCGCTTTGATGTTTCATATTGCACGTACAAGCTTACTTTTTTTACCCATACACTATTTTTTTAATTGTTTGAGAAATATTACACTGATACTCCTTAAATCTTATATTAATTCCCTTAATTGTTTGAAAAACATTACATTGGAATCTCCTACAAGAAAGATTGCTGTAAATGTTAAGAGATCAAGAGAGAGTTGTACACAATTTCACAAAATTTCATGGAGTGTTAGTGTTATTTACTCTATGATTATTGCAGATCTTGATAGTATCTATTGTTTTAAGAGTCGACTTTGTAGTACAGAAATGATAAACATAATCTCAATATTAATAGCCTGGAAGTAGATATAATAAACATAATCTCAAAAAGTTTTTGCGATGGTAACTCAACTGACATTAAGAATCACTGTTATATATAAGAAAAATGACTTATGCTGGGAAACATGTATCCGTACCCTCTTACTATAGGACAATGAACACTTCACAATAACCTCTGTTGTCATGAGCTCTGATACTTTCATCGGATCTTGTCTTTGCTGACATTTGTGCTGTATCTAGATTCTAGGTAAGTTTAAACACATGACTTGGCTGTATCTGGACTATTTTCATTCTTAGCAATAGGACACTATAACATAAAAAACTTCTATTGCCATTACCCAGGACCTTCATAAAGGATGAAAATAAACTTAACCTCAAGAAATTTTTAGGCAAATGTTATCTGCTACTAGTGCCAACCCTTCAGAAAATTTTGTGCTTTCTTTTTTAAGCTTATAACCGATATATTGTATTCCTATTGGTAAACAAAAATTCCGAGCTTATCCCCATGAGATGTAGTGCTAGGGAATACTTTTGTGTCAGCACTAACATGGTTTGTGGCTTTGTGACTGTTTAATTACAAGCAATTATCATGCTGGTCTAACATGATAAATTTAAAAAATTCAAACAAACATTTGTGATATAATAGATGATTTTTTTTCAGTTTATTTAATTATTATTCTTGCTTTCTATACTGTAGGAGTTGATGCATCACATTGGCCTTTACATAGCCTGTGGAAGGGGAGCCCATATAGCTTCAGAGGTGTTATTTGAATAATCGAGGGGTGTTATTGAAATGATCGAAACAGCGTAGCTATATATAAGCAATTGAGGATTGGAATAATCGAAAGAGCATCAAGTGTTGTATATAAGAGTACTTGAAAATGTACCTAAACAAAAAACGTGTAATTGATTTGCTATTATCATTAAATGTCTGTTTTAGATTTTATTACAAAGGATTCATTTCAGATAGAATTAGTTTTAGATTATCATCTGAAAAATATATGTTTAAAATAATCTTAACTACATATTTTTTAATTAAAAAATTCTCAAAAGTAATTTTAAATTTGTATTCAAACAAATAATAATAATAATACAGTAGAGGTATTCTCAATGGATTTTTAAGTAAATTATGTAATGATCCGACACGTCATTACACTTGTTAATAATTATCTATTATGTAACAGAAAATTAACATGTATCAGAAAGATAATTTATAATACAATCAGTACTAATATCAAGTACACACATGTTATAAATAAAATATCGTATTAAGAGTAAAATAAACCTAAGTTTTGGTCGACATTTATACAAAACATGACTACATTAGAGTAGCCATCAACAAAATTTAACCACTTCCAACGTAACTACTGCCAATAGCACAAGTCATTCCACTAATCTCGTCTCATTCTCATACCAAATATGATCATTGTAATTCTAACTACAAGAAAAACATAGGATAAGCTTGTGAAAAGAATTCAACATAACAACTTATAAATAATGTAATCATAGAAAAAAATATTTTAAATTACAACAGGACAACATCATCAATGTAACAACTCAACATCTTATAGCATGTTCAACATAACGATGTATACATCACATCTGATACGTCATCACGCATATTCACTATGGAGATCTCTTACAACATAGGGTGAATAGTCTAAGTGGGAACCACAATGATTGGTATAATACTAGAAAACAACAGCTAACACTACAATCAAAAAATAATAGCTAGCACAAGGCTAGAAACGACTATCATAAGTTAGATTGATTTCTCATGTTTCCCCATTTAAACTAGAAAGTATGGTACTATGTCAAGGAAAAACAGTTTGGGTATAAGCCTACCATGATATTAGCCTGCAACACTAAGTCACCTATGAGATTAGCTTACTGACTACCCTCCAAATACCACAACCCTCCAATGCTAGGTTAGAGAGTAAGTTCCCGACCCGATACTTTACTCGGTTGATCGCTTTATACATGTGTATCTCAACTTTTCCCACACACAGATACTACATAGAACCTACAATAGACAACTAAAAATAACGTATCCATTCAAAAGTCAACTTACTTACTGAAGGGTTTAACACAATGTATATCCACACAAAGAAATATTAAAGTTCGAAAACATCTTTAACCCTCTTCTAGTTTCTATGTATCATAGTTAAGACATGTATCTAACCCACATATCTATAACTTATCAATTTAACAACTTTATCAACATTCAACATATAACTTATCAGTTTAAACAACTTAAACATCATACATTTTTACAACATGAACAACTTTAAGAGAGTAACATCAAAATAACTGAAGCAACTTAAAACAATTCACAATTTTACATGTTCAATTTACTGCATATTAAAACATCATCTTACAACATCACTTATAAAAATTATTCATCATCAATCAACTATTAAAACAACTTAATAAAGACATAACTTTTCATCATATGACTCACACTCAGCGTCATTCACTCGGTACTCGATATTATTGAAACATGGAGCTCCCTATCTCACCCATGCTCGACGTCATACCACTTGTGCCTGACATGATTGAGGTAGAAAATGTCCCACACTTCCATGCCTGGCGTGGCAACCCCCACACTCGACCCTAGTTAGGTAGAGAGCTTTCTATCTAACTCATGCTTGAGGCCACACACTCTAGCGCATAGTGTGAACCCAAGCAAGGACAAGTTTCTCTCCTCTCGCGGCGGCGCCATTCAACCCATGTCCAACGTGATTTTAACCTGAGATGAGTTTCTCTTCTCATGTTTGGCCCCACCGATCCTACGTATGACGTGAGTAAGACAGAGACTTCCCTTTGGAATCACGCCCGACGTCCTAAAGACACGTTTGACACAATATCAAGTTTTGAACTTGTGCATAAACCGATTTCATGCAATCTCCTAAAAATCAACAATCCCAACAACGTGCAATGTACAAAAATACATCTATACAACTTGTACAACATGATTTCATCATCATAAACAACATGAAACTACAATCAATCAAGAATGAACTCGACTTCTCATACTTTACTTCAAAGTCACAAAACCCTCTCAACTTCGTCGTTTAATCACTCAACACCTTCAACCAACTCCTTCCAATCATCACAACCACAAAATACACACCTAAATTCGAAATCACAACTTCCCTTACCTCTCAAAGAATCAATCTACAAGAGGAAAAGAAGAATAAGCAACCCCTACACGGAATCTTCCACTTCCACAAGCTTATATTCCAACACACAACTAGAACTTCAGCTGCAAGAAGTAAGAAAAGGAAGGTTTTTTCAAAAGGATTGTGGAGAAGAAAAGGATTTGAGTTATCTAGCTTTTCTCTAGAGTTTTTGAAAGATATGAATTATGAATCTCCTTTTGAAAAATTTTCTTTGTATACCTATTTGAGTTGACTCTCCTATCTCTAGCCCGACTGTCTAGAGATCAACTGTTCTTAAGGTCTCTCAATATCAAAATTCTCAACCGCATTTGTGAATTAAACAACACAAGTCATGAAATTGATAGTATTACAAACTCAAAGCCTAGTGTATGATTTAACACAACCATAGTCATATACACTAATACAAGCCACGAAATTCATTTTAGATTATCAATCTGATTGAAATATATGTTTAAAATAATCTTGACTATATATTTTTAAGTAGATAAATATTTAAAATCATTTTTAAATTTGTATCTTAACAACCTTTAAATAAAGTTGAGGTACTCAAGAGACTTTTACTATTAGTGCATAACACACAAATAGTGATAGACATTAATACAAACGACGGAAATAGTAATTTTTTGGGTTATATATGTTGCCAAACTCTCTGTTTAATTATATTTTTTGTCTATACAATTTCATTAATTTTAATTTTTTATTTTTATAGTTAAAAATAGTTTAACCCTTGTACATACAATTATTTTATTTCTTTTTAATCTATATTGTTTAATTCTATAGGGACTAAAAGATAGTTTATGAAATTATAAAAATTAAAAAGAAATAAAAATAATATGTATAGAGACTAAAATAAAATATTTTTAATTAGAGACTAAAAGATAAAATTGATAAAACTATCAAAATTAAAAGGGTAACTAAACATAATTTATTTTGTTGCTCAAATTTATAATTAATCTTTTTTATTCTTAATATTTAAAAATATATATTTTTTATCCATCAATATTACAATTTATACTACCCAAGTCCTCCACCATTAGGGCGACCCTAGTGGTTAGGAATGGTAAAATGGGTTCTAACCTGCGGGCCGGCCTGTTGGCCCGCCAATCCAATATTTCAACTTGCTAGCCCGCTGGACCAAATAGCGGGCTAGCTTGTCACAACTCGCCAGCTCGCATACTTTAATTTTTTTTATATTTAATTTTTTATGTTTAATTTATTTATCTTTCAAGGGAGCTTCTAATGTTCTTGAAATAGAAAGTTAAAGTTGATTAATTATTTTTGGACTTGTTTTGTGGACTATCAAAAAGTTAGTTTATTAGTTATTTGTAAGTTTATAATTTGGTTTTGATTTTGGTGTAAGTGGACTAATTTCTATTTAATTTTGTTATAAGTTTCTAAGTTGTTTTTGTTGAACATATATTATGTATAATATGTATGTATTTTTAATTTCATATAGTTATATTTATTTATTTGTACCAGTTTTTTTTTATTTGAACATAAATTTTTTTTTTGTAATATTTTTTTTTGTGGTATGCGGGCTAGCCCGCCGACCTGCTAGCCCGTCCTTAGGCGAGGCGGGCCAACTATCCCAACCCATTTTCTATTGGCGGGCTGGCCCAGCCTGACCCGTTTTTGGCGGGCCGGGCTAGCCCATTTTGCCACCCCTACTAGTGGTTATGAAAAAAGTCTATTTGAATACTGTTAGTGCATCTATGATGTAAAATTTATCTATTGTTTATTTATCATTGTAAGTGATGTTACTGACAATCTAATGATCAAAATAAAGTCTTAGATTATCATTTTATTTTATATCATTGAAAAAAAATCCTAAATATGATTTTAGTTCTTATAAAAAGATTTCCTTGTTTTTAATCCTCTAAAATTTAAAAATGTTATTTTAGTCTCCAGTATTATGTAATTGTTTTTAAAAACGTATTTGATTATCAAAAGATTAAGTGACTATATTAGGTACTACCTACAATTATTAATGATACCGTGTTAGTGTATGACACTTACAAAAAAAAATTATAGATCCTTAAGATAAATGTTACTCATGTACCTTAAAATCATTGTTAGGAACAAAAATTAATGATTTTAGATTCCAGAGGAATGAAATTCAAAGAAAAATATATTGTAGGGATTAAAATCAAAATTTACTCATTTTACAAGAATCAAATATTTTTTATGAGGACAAAGAACAATGTTTACAAATTTTTTAAACATGAAAAATAAATAAAATATTTTACATGGACCAAAATATAAACCAACTCATTTTAGACTTAAAAACATATTTAAGCAAAAAAAAAAAAAAGTTCAAAATAAGCTTTGATTTTAAATTATATTAACTATGGTTCTTAGGGGAGTGGGAGGAATTGAAGGGAAAATGATGGAATAGATGAGAAATGATTTGATAGGAAATAGGTAAGAAATAAAGTAGTGTGGAGAAAAGATAAATACTAAAAGGGAGTTGGATAGTATGTATTAAAAACTCGCACATTTTTCTTAGTGAAGTAGTAACGTTATTTAGATGAAGTGCAAAGAGTAATCAGATGAAAAACTAAGTATTTTTATATTGGTTCATCTTAATTACCGAGACTATGTCCAGTTTTCAATCCAAGTAGATTGAGTTCCACTATCTTTCAACAAAAATACAAGTATTCTTTCAGCAAGCCACTTATGACTCAACCTTAAATATTCTTTAACTTGCCTTTTCAAACAACTACTTAAGTATTCTTTTAATAACAACCCTCTCTAGGCTTAACAACCAAGTAATCTTTTCAACCAAACTTCTTCAAACTCAAACAAATATTATTTTATAAACTAGCCTCTTCAGGCTCAACCAAATATTATTTTACAGACAAGCTTCTCCAAACTCAACCTTATAACAATGGTTATAAAGGTTACAAAGATGTTGTGTTCACTTCACTTAGACGTTATACAACCAGTATAGTGTAATAAACTTTTACCAGAAAGAGTGAGTTCATTTTACAAAGATTATATGTTTCTATATACAACTGTGTCTTCTATTTTCGTTGTATTCTCTTTCTTTCTTGAGCTTCAAATCTTTTTATATAGTAGCTTGGAGAAGATGACCGATGCAACACTTTGAGTCTAGCTCACAAGTTTGTTTCATCTATCTTCAGCATATTTCCTTAAGATGGGAGGGAACCGTCGATTCATTTAATGCAAGTATTAAATGCATTTTACTAAATGATACCTCTTATCTGATTAAAGAAGCTACTTATTAATTTTTCAAACCAAACGAAGCTTGTAGAAATAATGTTAGTATAGAGCAGCAATAGTGACTTTATTTGTTTTTCTCTACAATTTTAGGGATCTTTGTCCTTGATTCTGACCGAAGACATGATCTTATTCTCTTTAACATATTTGTGAGTTTCAAGATGATTTTCTAGTTTAATCGGTTAAGAAATGAAGCATTCAAAACAAATTTTGTCATTAGTATTAATAAATAATGAACATTTAATGAATATGAGAAGACCTACATGCTTCATCTGATTTACATCGTCTTATAGACAATCTGCGTCTTACAGACGATCTGCATCTTATAAATAATATGCATCTTATAGATGATCTGCGTCTTACAAATGATCTACATCTTTCGTAAATAAATAATATATATATATATATATATATATATATATATGCTTTTAAAATAATATTTGAATAGAAAAAGAAATTTATCCGAGTTGGGTGGGTATTGTTTAACGTATGCGTACCGCGATG